CTTCCAATACCATCCACCCCCATTCATAAATGCACTAAGGTTATGGACAGAAACAAGCTAGAAGGAAATAATTCACCTGCCTCTTCTCTCCTCTCCTCTCCTCTCCTCTCCTCCCCTCCCCTCCCCTCCCCTCCCCTCCCCTGTCCTCCCCTCTCCTCTCCTCCCATCCCCTCCTCTCCCCTCCCCCTTCCCTCCCCCACCTCTCTCCCTCTCTCTCTCCGACCTTAAATCTTTACAGTGATCATACTGGAGCTTCTCAACATATTCTGTCTTCTCCCTAGCCTACCTATCCTGGCTTCAGAAAGAGAAAAATGCTCCCATCGATAATCATGACCTGCTTGTAACACAGAGAACTGAAGACTACTCTTGCCCTTTCTCTGGTCTTCCTCTTAATTCAGTGGATAAAGGGGGCAGTGGGTGAGTTCTGAAAGCATACACTGTGTCCCCCTCAGTAAGTCCTGTGGGAACACAGTTGTTACCCTTAGCAGTGACTGTGAATCTTAATCACACACCCGAATCACCTTCAGAGTGTTTACAAATCCTGGAGCTCAGGGAAAATACCACAGCTATTAAATCGTGAGATGTGGTGTTTTTGTTTTCCATGAACTTTCTTTTGGGGCCACCTTCACCTATCTCAACCCTCTTAGGTACCTACTTTCAACAAGAAGGAAGGAAAAAAATCAAATCTAATTAACTTTATATCTCAACTGTTGGCAAGCAATTTAACCTTTCTGTGCCTCAGTTTCTCATTTCTATAATGAAGATACTTTTTCATTTATACTTCTTAAGTTCTAAAGAGATATTACTGCAAAATTCTAAGAACATTTCCTAGCTCATGGCAAGTGCTTTAATAGATGTGATCTATATTGTGCAACTAATGGGTAAGTTTGTGCATAGTCAATATATTATTTCACTATCATATTACAATACTGATCTATCAGAAAACATGAAACTCCAAAAAGAATTCTTAAAATTAATATCTGTTTCACAGATTTACCCATTATTCATTGACTTCTATTAACCTTCTACAAAATGTTCTATAAAAGTCTTAAAATCAGTTTTAAAAAGTTATTAAGCATAATTCCTAATAAAGATCATACTACCGTTCCATGGTACAGAACTTTGTCCCCAGGTATACACATTCAAATATATTAAGATCTTTTTTCTCATTAGAAATAGCTATGTCTGGAGTTACTCTGTTTGACATGTTATAAAACCACACCGTTCCTATCATAAGGGATATAAACAATATGATTTGAAACATGCTTTGCCTAAATAGCATATTTTATTAAGTATTCTAAAGACTATAGATACAGTAGTAGGTAAGAATCATTAAATCGATTTCTGCCTTATGATATGAAAGGGTTTACCATCTCAATTTTAATAGTAACTTGAAAACATGAATTAAAATGCAATAGGAAAACAAAAAGCATCAGTGTAAGCCTGAAAAGGCTTCTAACTGCATTCAAAAATATAAAAAAACAAAGAGTATGAACATTTTCTTGTTCATTATTTTCAAAATGTGAATTTTGCTTGAATTGTGCGTGGGATTTGTTTTCAAAACAAAAAGTTCTTCTCAATTCTTTTTATGAACATTTTTCTAGAGTAATTTGCCAAAAGTATGTCCAGAGATATAGTCATATAAGCACATGTCCCCAAAGAGAGTTTTGTTCAGGAAAAATGCTGACATTCTTCTTATAAGATATCTGCACACACAATGGGGCCTTCTGTCTCGATAAATTTGTTTCTGGGGATGAGCCCATGCAAAGATAGTCTGCAGACTCGTATTATGCTGTGACTCAGTATTAGAAATGCTTGTTTTCGATGATATATATAGAGAATATAAATTAAAAGATACGGTAACAATCAAAAATCCAGGTTAATAATAATGATTATTTTGGCCTTTTAAAGATTCAATTTATTTTTGAAAAAAAACAGAATTTTTATGGCATTCAGCTTCAGTATCATTCTAAAAGTTTTAGTAATATTCCTCCCTGTGATTTTTAAACTGAAGATTTCCATGCAGTTTTGGTCAACCAACCAAACACTAAAACTATTTGAAAACACCTCTCAAAAGTGACTCAACATGTCCCAAAAAAGGTATTTATTCAGACTTATAAAGCTATTCAATTCTCACCATCTGACTAATTAGATTAGTTTTTCTCATGCTATGTCAACCTGTTAAAGTTTCATTTCATACAGAATTATCAAAACTCTAAAACACTTCAACATTTCAGAGCCAAAATTCTTTTTTTGCCTCTAGAACTACTTTGTATAATTTTAATTTTAAAGTGTATCGTTCAAGCACTGTTTAAATTTCTCTTCTCTGTAGAAATATTTATATACTTTTAATCCCCACATTAATCTTTTGCATGGTCTTCAAAATTCTGCATGCATACATCAGTGGCCACCCTCCCTCTAGACTTCCTGGCTCTTCCTTTTTTTCCTTATATCCTTCTTGGTGGTCAACCAGCCCTAACGAGTGAGAAAATCTGTGTTCAACTAACACTTCACCATGAACTCCATGAGAAACCATTGCTTGAGTTTGCATTACTTAGTGTTTTAAGTAAAAAATGATGAAATGTGTTATATCCATGTACCGATTTCTTGCAGTGAATATAACCATTATGTACCCATAGAAGTAAGAACCTCAAGAGGCCATATAAAGAAATTTAATATAAATCTGAACAAAGATAAGCATAGACCGAGAAAACAGGCATTTACATGGTAATTTAGAACTTATATCTTCTTTAGAAAACTCTAGTTTGTTCAACAAATGGGAAAAAGGGTAGACTGTAATGTCTCTCCATCTTCCTTTCTCTCATTACACACACAAATTAATGCAAACATCTTAACTTTTTCATAATGTATTTTTAAATCTTTCCTCTAACCACAGTGTCACAAGTTAAACAATTATATAGTTCTTGGAGAAGGGGATGTTTCCGGGGACTGAACCCAGGCCTTGTACAAGCCCATTCCACCACTTTGTCACATCCCCAGCTCCTGACCACACTTACCTGGATGCTTTAATAATGACTTTTCAACCACAAATATGTTGCCTGAGTATTTTTAAGAAAGGTGATCCAGTGGGGAGTATAGCACTGCATTGCTTGACCCTCACATGGCTTAATGATCTCTGAGTCCTCCCAGTAGACTGGCTATACACCCTGGGAAAGGGCTCCACAGTACCTTCTCTAGCAATCGGCTGAAGTTCTTCAAAGGGTGACCACTAGAGGGCTCTACTTCGAAATCAGCCCAATAGAGAGCCCAGGAGAAACCCACTGCCCACAATTAGTCAGGCCTGGTTATCACGGAGAGAATGAGAGCTTTCAACCACTTCTGCCCTTTTATATTTTAATTCGCAGGCGTGTGAGTCTAAAATTGTATGCTATGAGGACTACAGAAGCTATCAAACATGATAGAACTTCATGGCTTGTGCAGTCCAGTTCCTTCCTTAATGCTTTCTATTCCTGTGAAATGTTTGTCTGTCTCCTTTCATACACATACGCATGCATGCATGCAGCGAGAGAGACAGAGAGAGAGAGAGAGAGAGAGAGAGAGAGAGAGAGAGAGAGAGAGAGAGAAGACAGGATGGGGGAGAGGCCCTAAATTAGATCAGAGCTGGAATTAGAACTCGGATCTCAGAAACCAGAGTCAGCCAAGCAACTTGCTGTTCTAAACCTAGGACAAACCTGCTTCAGTCTCCTGAATTCTACCCAGGATAACTCAGGCGTTCATATTTTATCTGCCTTTGCCTGCTGCTGACTCTGAAGAAGCCCAAGAAAGCCGCCTTTTTTCAGATGAGTTTCTTACCCTCTCTGGGCTTTCTTCTCATCTAAAATTAGCCAGTTGAACTGGAGATCTCTGAGGAACTTCACAGTTATAAAAAAAGTCTGCTTTTCCTCTTCATGCTTCACCCTTGATGTCTGCGATTTTCACTAGGTGGCAGGATTCTACCACCACACTACAAAAAGAGCCTTCTGATAGATGCCTCAGAGCAGAAAATTTCACAGAAACTCCTTTCTTTGGTACGTTTTTTAAAAGCAATAGTCAAAAGGAAAGAACAGATGCAAAGACAGTGACCCACATATTTCTGAAAGACCTAGATCCAGTTCTAATACAAGAATAAAGCAAAAAATTAATTTCTTTTGCCTTCACAAAGTCTTTCATGCAATTTGTCACTCTGGCATTAAAATCGGATAAAACTTTGGAGTTTTTTTTTTCATCCATTTTAAAATTTATTTTAGGTAACTGTCCACTAGAAAATAGCACCTCCCTGGAGCATTCTAGTCCTGTTCTAAGCTAAGGAACAAACTGGGAACCAGTAACAAAAACACTGAACATTATAAAGAGTTACTGGAGAAGCTGCAAAGTTCACATTTCAAGTATCTTTGAATTTTATTCCGAGTCCTGGCCGGATGAGTATGCATGATGGAAATCACTAACTGAAGTTTTGCATTTATTGTTAAAGCCTTAAAAGAGTTTTCTTTTAAAAACAGGCCCTCTGACATCCCATTATACTTTTAAAATGATTGCTCCAAATTGGCCTTTCCATGCATGCTGCATAACAAATGTTGCTACCAACAGTTTATGAGAGTCCCCAAAATATCCAAGCCACTAGTTAACGCCAGAGCCAAGCATTTCTTCTCCGCCAGAGCCAGGCAAAGAGACATGAAAGGGAATCCAGGGCAGAGTCTAGCATTGCCCAGGGGAAATGTCCCCCGCGAGGCTTGGTTCTTGTCAGGTGATGACCGAGGCCTTTTCTCCAACTAAGTATGACACTCTGCTATTTGCTAGGTAATTACATAATGTAGGCTATACATTTCTCTTCTTAAAAAGCAAGCCACATCTTAGAGAAATGGAACGCCAGCACCAAAACCCAAGCAACACACAGACAGACTTGCGGGTCAGAACTTGAAAGAGCATCAACAGGTTGCTCCGTGCCCTCCTTCCCTCCCGGACACAGCATGCAGGCTGGCACCTCCTCTGCCCGCTCCTACCTTGGCAACATGCAAGGGCTGCTTCTGCTCCCGGCCACCTTGCAATCGGAAGCCCCAGGGGGCTCCCCCAGTCATGGAGATGCAGATACAATCCCCGGTGCCCATGTCTCCGATTCAGGTGAGCAGCATGAAGGGCCGGCGGGCGCGGCGGAGGATGCACCCCGAGCTCTCGGCCTCCGCCGGGGACGCGGGTCCGGGGCGCGCAGAGCCGCCCGCGCTGCCGGCCGCCGCGCTGACTGCGCCGCTCTGGGCTCCGCCGGGCGCAGCGCGGGCATCGGGACCCGGCCCACTCGTGCGTCACGGCCGCGCTCGGCCCACCTTGGCCAGTCCCGGGGGCGGACGGGGCGGAGGCGGGGAGGAGCGCGGTCCAGCCCGGAGAGGAGGGCTCCGACTGCAGAACTGGGGTCAGCACTACAAACAGGAGGGAGCGCCCTGGGACCCGGCGACCGCTGGGTGATGTCAGATGCTGGGGGTCACCGGGGAGAGGGCCCGAGTGCATTAAATTAGTAGTTTTCTATCGAGCTGAGAATCAGTCCTGTAAGAAGTAAAGCAAAGTGCAAACGTTTGCTTCTGGAAAGGAGGAGGGGAGGAGGGGAGGATAGAGAGGGAATGAGATGAGGTTTCCCCCTGGAAACTACCTGGAAAGAACCTCATCTGTGCATGATTTGGGGTATTTTACATTTAAAGAAGTGTTTCGCTTCACTTGTCTCCTTTCTGCTGAACTTCAACTGAATCCAGCAGTCACTGCACACGATGTTAAGTACAAGTGCTCTGTTCTTAGGCTTTGCCTTCTCACAGCCTGAATCTGGGTGGCCCAGTCCGAAATGGATTTCATACGTGCTCCAAAATATTTGAAGTTGAGATTTGTGTACAGCCTACCAAAAATGTATAAATGGAGCACTTTGCCGTTTCTGTACTGATGTTTTCCATAACGCTCATCCACATAAATACACACAATAAAGAAGAGCCTGAGAAAATCCCAGCTACTCGTGGTGCCAGACGCGAGGGACCCCCAGGGGCACAGCCTGCTCCGGTCTTCACGCGCGCACACAGCCACGCAGGTCACCGGAACTGTGCCTCCTCCCCGGACGAGGAGGACCCTGAAGTTAGTGGCCTTGGCACAGGAGGAGACACTTGGGAGGTCACAAGGGCCGGATGCTCATCCCAGATTTGATTCGCTGCACAAGGGTGAATTAACTTTTGCCAAGTCTTTCTTTAAAAACTTGTGACACAAAATACGTGCTCTGAGAACAAAAGAAAATGAAAGGACTTTTCACATTTGCTGTTTCTACTGTCTCTTGTTTGCTTGTCTCTGGGTCAGCCCACTGTAGCCTGTCCCCACAATAGGAAAAGCTCCAGGCAAAGTCACTAGTGACCTCTTTGTTTTCCTTGTCATATGTGACATTACTGGCCATCTCCTCCTTACATCTTTTTTTTTTTCTCTTAGCTATAGGACCCAGCAAGGCCCTGGCTTTCCTCTGGACTGTCTAGATCCTTTTCTTCCTTTCCTTCTTTGCAGGTTTTCTGTTCTGCTACTCCATTAAATGTTACTTTTTACTAAGGCTGTGACTGGTCCTCTTTTTTCCCTGCCTTTGTACTTTTTTGGGGGAGGGGTTCTCTCATTCATCCTCCAGAATTCAGCTGCTTCCTTCCCCATGAGTCTCATCTGCTCTGTTTACCTCCAAACAGTACATTCAAGGGCCTAATAAACCTCTTTCTATGGTGTGAATGTATCCCTAAAATTCAGTACATTAAAAATGATGTTAATCATCGCTCTCTTCCCATACTGCTTCACCTCCTGCACCCCACGTCCCAGGATAATGAATTGATACCCTTTGTCTCAGGCCTGGTTCCCCTCACCTCTGGCTTGAATGCAGGTTTGATTCCGGAAATGGGAACTGGGGTAGCCACGCTGTTGACCAAACCTAAGACAACTGTAGAGATTCTGACCCTGGCTGAATCCACGCCAGCAGCTATCATCTCAGTCCTCTGATTGTGCAAGAAAAAAATAACCCATGCGTGTTTAAACTGCTACGAGCGAGTTCATTATTTCTCACAGCTCGCACATATCTAAGTGCCACACTCAGGCAATGTGAGCCTCTCCCATTATACCTATTCTTCTATACAGTACCAGGGAATCAAAACTACTATCATTTATTGAAGATTTGCTCTGTGCAATGAAACTGACATATAGTTTAGTACCTTATCGCGCTTATGTTAGGTAGTTATGCGTCTCTCTTTTATTGGCATTTAATTAAGCTACAGGTCCTAACTTGTAGAACCAGGACTTGAATCTGTTGTCCTAAATTTAAGATACCTTTCTCTCCTCTCTCCTCCCTCCTTTCCTCTCTCCATTCTGCCCCCAGGCCTTATATACTCACTGCTTTCCCAACAAATGCATCTACTTAACCAAAAAGAACTTCAGGTCCAACTTTGAGATAGACTACAAGCCTACGCCTTCCCTCTCTGCTCATTGCCATGGTCACACCTGCCTCTGGCCTGGACCATTACAATCTCCTAACTAGTCTCTGAATAACAGGCATGATTTCTACTCCCTGTTCTTTCCCCACTATACAGCAGGATGACATTTCTGAAATATGATATCTATCTTGTTTTTTTCCTCTGTTTAAAAGCTGCCAGGGCTCTGAAAATAAAATCAAAACTCTTTTCACATAGATAACACTTTCCGCCTGGCACTCCCACTTCTCCCCGCACCACTCATGCACGGCTCCTTACCTTGGGTTTTATGATTCAGACGCACAGAAGTACTTTTAGTTTGCTTTGTGGTTCCATCTGTTTAGGCTTTCCTCCAAGCCCACCAGTCACCGCCTGCCCTAACTCACCTCACACTCCCGCTCACCCTCCAGCCTCTCGTTGGACTCCACATTCCCAGGGAGCCACTCCTGCTCCCCCAAAACCCATGTCAGATCCACCCTCAGTGTGCTGTCATCTGTCTCTACCTTCGTTCTCATTCTAACAGTTTCTTGAAATGTTGAATCTCTACTAAACTACTAACTCTGAGAGACTAAGAGTTGCTTTTTGAATTATTGAGAACAGTATCTCAGTATAATTTATGATGAATAATTTGTGCTTCGGCCATATGAGTAGAAAGTATAGATAAGATCTTCTAAAATTAAGGTATAGGAAACGGAGTCAATGGATTCTAGCTTGTTTTCTTTTCTTCCACTTCATCTGACTCAGAAAAAAAAAATCTTAGATAAACCAGAAGTCCTAACTTAAACCTTGGAGAACCCACGTAGAGCAGATGACAGCTAACTCCCTGATATCCTGCTCCTCTGGGTTGGTTAGTAACCATTAGCTTTGTTTTAAAAAAAAAAAAAAACAAGTTGGCTTATCTAAAACAGTCAGAATTCACCTTCCCTCCTTAAGACAAAGTTACCCTGGCTAAATCAAGGAGTTCCTCTTGGTTCCAATGATTTTTCATTAAGGATCAGTCACATCGGAGCTCAGTAGTTTTCTGGATGGTCATCAGGACTAGATCTTTCCCCACAGATAGTGACACCAGCCAGTGGTGTCAGAGCCAGAGTGAAGATAAAGCATCATGAGTCACATTGTGCAAGACTGAACTTCACGCACTGTCGCGCCTTATAGGTCTTACTGGCTGTGCCAGAGTGCAAGGTTCTATGTCTCTTTTCCTGAGCCATTTCTCAGGGTTATGTTTGAGGGAAACAACGCTGAAGGACGAAGTAGTATCACAAATTGGAATGAAGAGAGGTTTCCTAACTGATTCTTGTAAAAGCAGTGGTTTCTGGAAGTTTGGTGGTCTTTAGTAGGGATACAAACCCTTGTACTTGTAGCAGGGATACAAACCCTTGTACATCTAGATCTACTGTGTAAAACTCATGAGGATGGGCACAAGATGAATGGAAACAAACACAGTGTTGCCCCTTCTGGTTGGGGTGTCCTGAGGAATAAATATTTTTGTCTCTGACACAGAAGTCATATATCTGCTTTCAGTATCTACAAAACAGTAGCTGGCTAATTAGCAATTTACAAGGATAGTATAATCAAATCCTAGCCACAACAGGATGAAACTGAGACATTAATAAAGAAATATAGCTCTGATCAAATAGCATGTGTGTCTGCCCTTTATTTTATTTGAATGTTAAGAACAAAAGTCAGAGCCGAAGAACTATTCTCTAAAGAAAGTAATGATTTAGCTTTAACAATGATCTTCTAGGACTATCTCTAATTCTATCACTTTCTACTTTCCTTATTCTAATAGTCTATTTTAGAGAATGGTTTTGCTATGACTTAATAGCATACCAGATGCTCTGTTTTATTTTCTCCTCTCCTTGAGTATTAATATATTCAGCAGACAATACCTAGTCTGTGGATCCCCATTTCACAACAGCGTAAGTTTTCTCTGCTAACATGAACTGGAATGCCACATTACGAAGCCAGAGTTTTCTATTAGGAATGACCTAGAGATGAAGGCACAGAGGAGAGAGGAGAGCAGGAAGAAAAAGTGAAAAGGATTACAGTGTGATCTGTACCAACTCCTCACGCTGACTTTATTCTTATGTATCACAAACACCTCCTAGTAATAAATACATATATTTTAAAAACAGTGACTTACTGTACAGTTAATATTGGCTACATATGCCTGACTCATGCCTCTTTCTTAACTCAATTTTTCACTCAAAAATATCATTTTTTTAAACTCTGAGCTAATGCCTATTTGTTGGGAGCCGCAGCCCCGAGCCCGGTCGCCTCACTTGGCGGACGTGAGGCCTGTAGTAAAGAGTAAAGCCTGAGGTAGATTACCCCTCCCATCGAGCACGTTAGTTTCCTGCTTACCGCATAAGCAACCCGCTCAACAATATAGTCTGCCTGGCAACTGATGATGTTAGCCAATCAGCTTGCCTTGCTTACTTTAACATGATTGGACACTGTATCCGTATATATACTGGTGCCACCCCTGGGGGGGAAGAAGAAGCCCGGAAGTAGAAGCCCAGAAGGAGCCGCGGGGAGCGGACCAGAGGAGGCTTCGGCTGGGAGCGATCCCAGGGCAGGCTGTACGGAGAAGGAAAATAAAAGAAAAGGTTGTCCACTGCCAGACTTTGTCGTGTGTCCTTCCTGCCGGCCGGGAGCGGACATCGACATTTGGAGGCCCGCCCGGGGACTGATCACCCCCGAGACGTGACAGCGGACAACGCTCCAGTACAGAGCTGCGAGACAGGTGAGTTGGGGATAAGCCTGGGCTCTGGGTGGCGCGCACCTA